TTCTTGAGTATGAAGTGTGATTGTGCATATATTGTGTAATATAGGTTGGGTATAGTTCATTAATCAAAGTTAGGCCGATTTATTAAAAGTTCAATTATTCATTTCATTGCAAAACTGGATTATGTAATATATAAAACTTTATCCCCTCTACTAATCTCCCTCTTTGTGTTAGACAAGAATTTTCTGACTTATTCCCACATACATTCCACCCTCGAAATATAGCAATTTGGCATTTTGTACCCTTGAAAACATTAATAACACGCTACATCCTCAAAACACAATAAATCATTCACGATGCACACTGGATTGAATTTTTTAAAACTTGATGAGCACAACTTTATTTTTATTATGTTTTTTTTAGTGTGCAAAGTACCAAATTAAATTGTTAGTTTCTTTTACCCTGCAACCTAATTTTGAATGCATAAAGTGTGAAAAACTTTTGCCCTATCTGCCCTATACAGTTGTAATTGTGGCAATTTGTTAAATACTCTTGAGCTCTAATTGTCTTTCGAATCAGGACTGACCAATTTTGGCAATTTACTAAAACTCTTATGTTCTTCAGACTCCTCACACTCCTTCAGATAATCTGGTATATTCCTACTCCCCACCGCTGCCATCGATAAAAAGCTCTCCCGGAGCCACACAGGCGCCCACACATAATCACACACCTATATGCGCACACATACGATTTTGGTTACATTCATTCATCTCTCATGTAACCTAACAATTATGGAAACCAAATCGAGAAAATATTAAGAGTTGTTTCGTGATGGTGACGGTATTGTTGGTAGTGATGTGCGCACCAGAAATTTAATTTTTTTTCTTCAACTTATTTAACTAAGTTGTGTAACTAAGTTGACTAAGTGGGTGTTTGGCTAAGCTTATAAGATGTTAAAAGAAGCTTATAAGATGTTTTAGAGCTTATAAGCTCTTCCAAAGTGTTTGGCATTTTCTTAAAAAAATATCTTATTTTTTTTTAAATAAGTTGTTGGAGAGCAAATAAGATCTTTTTAAATAAGTACCTCTACCCCACCTTTTTATTTAAGATCTTATAATGAGTAAAATAAGAAATAAGCTCATTATCCAAACACTCTAAAAACTAATCCAAAAAATAAGATGTAACAGCTTATCATCTCTAAAAACATCTTATCAGACGTAAGAGTTTATCAACTGTTTAAAATAAGTTTAGCCAAACCCCCTCTGTAAAGTTGTTTGTGTAAGTTGTGTATATGTTCTGACAAGAATCTATTTTTGTTTTAGTTTTTTCTTCGCTGTATTTTAACTAAGTTGTTGCTTATATATAACTAAGTTATGCAAATCACCGCCTCATCGTAACTGTTAGTTTTCCTAAGCGATTCCGTGAGAGCGGAACTGCATAGGGACTTTTAGCAAATTGACAAAATACGCGTGTCTTAGCTAAAGAGAATATTTTTGAGGAACCTCCAACTAATCTTTATTAATATTTTGATAAAATACTAATTGTTCTATAATTGAATAACATTTATACACATAATATTTTGAAGTACATGCACAATTTACCAAACAATAGAAAGAACGTTAAGTTTCTATATTGACATTGGCAATATTAATTGATTGTTTTAGCAAGTGGGTTATTAGACTTCCCTTGGGTGGGCAATATATATGTGTGTGTTGAATTTGAGAACTAGTTGATTTATATCCGCCTAACCTCTTGCATTTACAACGGAATTATAAAAATGGGTAAAACTGTAAATAAACGTTCGCAAGAGTGGCCTAGTTGTTTTAAGGACCGGACGATATGATATTTGCGAGTCAACCCAGCAAGTTTATGGGGACACTGTACACCAAATATCAAACAACTCCCCAACCAAACGAGGGCCTGACATTATTGTGCTTGTTCGTGAACCCATAACAGAATTGGTGCATGCATGCACCTAGCTAAGATAATCAGCCCGAGCTACATTACGGAATTTGGAGTGGTAGAGTAGTGAGCTATCTCTATTCATAACTGCTCAATTTGCAAATCGAATCGAAGTCTACAAAGCAAAGTTAAGATAGCTCTTCAGATCAACACTTTTATTTGATCTTGGTCCAAAAAATACTCCAAATATTTTCTATTTGAGATAAAACTACGTCAATTAATCTTTCGGACTAAATTTTTGGCCAATTCAACATTATTTTCGGGCCAAGTCAACTAATAACAAAATCGTTTCATATTCAAAATCATTCATTGATTCTGCAACTTCAAAATCCATAATCTCAAATCATTTCATATATAATACAGGATACAATTTCCATTAAACTTCTCTTATATGAGGTCATTAAATTCAAATGTACCTAAATCCCATTCACATACGCAAATCACAATTTCTACATTCAACAACACTTTCAAAATTCCTAAAACACAAATAAACCACAAGAACACGATGCACATAATTAAATCTAAAACGGCGTGTTTCGTCCATTGACAAATATACACATTATATATATCACCCCAAGGCTTAACTTACGTTTCAAACTATACAAAAAACCATCCAAAACACACAGGCTGTACAGCTAATAATCGAACTGAAATATTTTAACTTTTCACTAGTTTGATTCTTTGTTTTTTTTCAAAAACATTTTTACCTGGAAATTTCGAATTAAGGAGTAGTATTCACAGAAATCTCGTGAGGCAAAGATGGAGGTGTTGGTTGCTCTACATATGAGGGAACGACAAGCCGCTGCAAAGGCTTTAGAGCCACGCTCAGCTGCGCAAAAGATGGACGCAAATTTGGGTCCCTATTATCACGGTAGATTGGAATTAGTCCATTTATGTCCAAGAATTATTATTACAAAAAAAAACGTAAGGGTAGATGTGTAAATATAAAAATATGACTTACGTTTGCCAACATTCCCAAATTATCCTCCCAACGAGAGGATCAACCTCCTTAGGGATGTCGGGGCGGCGGTTCTGGAAACCAACAGCACCGACAACTTGCATAGGGTTCATCCCGCTCCAAGGCAATTTCAGTGTTGCAAGTTCCCATAGAATAATACCAAAGCTATATACATCACACCTGTTTAATTACACAACACAAATTTTTTTTAAATAATAATAATATTAATAACTAAAACAAATTTAGCATCCATAACTAGGCATGAGTGGTTATTTCAAGTTCATCAGCATCTCTGAAATTTGGAGTTCTAATTAAATTTGTAGTGAGTCGATTTAGGCATTCTTCGCATGCTTTTTCATGTATAAGAAAATAGCAAGTTGAAATTTGAAAATGCCAAAATCAATTCCGGACAAGGGGTAGACAACTGTTTTCTTTCCCACTACAATTAAAGGCAGAAAATAAACGGAAAATATGCATACTTTAAGCACGCTGTGAACAAGACAATATGCAGTCTATACAAAGAATACATATCGCTTGTAAAAAATCGCAAATAACAGCCCACAAAAGATACAGAAGCACCTTATAGAAATTGATTAATATAGTGTAAGAGTGTAGTAGGAGTAGGGTGATAAACAATTTGACTTACTTTTCATTTGAAGGCTCATTCCGGAGAACTTCAGGAGCCATCCACTCGGGCTTTATTATCAAACAACAAGCCCCCAAAATTAACAAGTGAACGAACATAAAGGATGAGATAAAGGTCGACCAATCTCCAAAATGAAAATTGCTAAAGCTAGAGCTAATTTCGCAACATCTAAAATAAAAGGCTCACCGTTCCTGCAGTCGACTTGGAAGACAAAAATGTATTGTGCTTCAAACGTGACAATCCAAAATCACCCACCTGCATCATAGTTTCAATACATATTAAAACACTCGGATGCACTGGAAGTAATAAAAAAACAGAAGTAAAAAAAACAAAAACAAAAATGGTAGCGAGTCGCTCCTAGCGACCAAATGCCATATTCTATGGTCTTTATCTGAGACTGAGTTTATCCGTATCGAACAAAAACAAATACTCTCGGCTGCTAGACGGTAAGTATGTAAACCAAATCCAAGATGTGGTATACCTTAACATTCCAATTGTTATCTACCAAGAGATTGGGTGATTTTAAGTCACGGTGAACAATTGTCGGTATGCTTGTGTGTAAGCAGTTCATGCCTTTTGCCTGCAAATATATAATCTCATTAAAAACTAAAAGGTCGATATTGTATAAGGAACATACCCAAAGGCAAAATGTGTACCACATCAAGAGCCATTTTTATTCTCCTCTTTTCATCAATTTGACAATGAGGGCGATGGATTATCCGATATAAGCTTCCACTGGAAAAGTAACAATGAAGGAAAGATGGATAATCATTCAAATTTCATTGCAATAAATCATGTTTTATGGGTAATTATAGATTGGCTGAACTTATAAGGTTAGTAGTTTGTAACACAGATGGAATATTGGCATACGAGCATGATCGTTGATCCAGAATGCTTTGCACATTGGGTCAAAGAAGCCAAATATACAAAGTCTAGTAAGCATTTGGTCATAACTAGCTATACTCGCAACTAAAGCGACATAACCTTATATACTAATCATTATTTATAGTACAAATTGTCCTCCTCCAACTCATAAACTTTTTAAGCTATACCTTCATCTTCACATGTTTACTTATCCACCAATACAAAAATAATACTAAAAAATTACAATTGAACAAGTGTGCGTGTATATATATGGAACTACTTCTGCGTATTTCCTTTTTCATTTTTTACAAGTCCAGAAACACGAACAAATTCGACTACTTCTGTTCATACTTAGCATTGAACTACTTAGAGATATCAGCATTCATATGGCAGTCGCAAACTACAGATGCTCATACTCTATAGTGTATAATCTACTTAAGATGCTTAAGATAATATTTGAAGGTAAAAGATCAAAATCAAGGGAAACCAAAAGCAGATATCGGGTACACAACATTTGAATACCCTACCTGAACTTGCTAATCAAATACCCTCTTCCACATTGGACCTTGAAATTTGATCTCAGTCTTAGACATCAGATTCCATTACTTACTTAATTAGTCATATATATGAGCCAGTAGGTTCTTGCCTTCCTTAAAAGAATAATAAAAAGGAAGAAAGGGACTACAGTAAGGATGAACAACTTACCGAGGCAGGAACTCAGTGACGATAGAAAGGTTTGGAGGGCGAGTTACCGCACCCATAAAAAGAACTACATTTGGATGGCGTAACCTACGCATAATCCGCACCTGCAAACACAGACAGTAACTAAACTTATTAAGGAAAAAAAAATTTAAGAGAGATTTTTCAAGCACATTTACTGAACTATATAACATAAAAGGAATTTCAATTACAGAATGTTTTAGCAAAAATACAGAGAGCAAAACAGCAGAATCGTGACAAGTTTTGATTTTCATGAAATCTTGCCAAAAGTCCATCAAAGTCGGCCTCAAAAGAAATAATGCAAAGCAATTCACAATCAAAAAACAGACAATATTGCTGAACATAATTAGGGGATGATATTAATGTGGTGAGGTCTATTTCGCTTTTTATTCTTTTTATTTTGGAGAAGGGGTGAAGGGAAAAAAAACTGTGGTGAACTTTCAATATTACGTATGTCTCCTGGCAAATTTTCCGTATCTGTGAGGATTTTAACAACTCACTCTGTAAAAGTTTATCTTTTATCACATATCACCATTTTAGCATCAGATATCTCAATTGTATCACATATTACAATTTACAAGTAGCGTAATACTTACTTCTCTCTTGAACTCATCCAAGGCAGCACCAGAGAAATCTTGGTCAAGGAACTTCTTCACAGCAACTTCCTGTGTTCAAAAAAAAATCGAAATTCAATAGGATTTAAAGTAATTAATTATATAGTAGCATTATGAGGTACACTTCGATAAATAGAAAAAAAGGGTCAATTGTCCCTGTGCATCAGTCCTAGAGAACTAGTAGTTAAACGAGCACTATATTTGTCACAGAGGCAAAAACAAGGAGGTCGTGAGGAATACATACTCGTAAATGCCAGCCTTCTCCCTACTCACACAGATTGAGATACAGAATATTACAATAGAGGACAGTGGGAAAAGAACGGGGATGTAAATAAAAGAGAAACATAAAAAAATCAAAAAAGGGGTGGTGATGGAGGGGCTGTAGCGGTGGTAGTGGGGATGGTAGCAGGCAAGCTTGGTGAAGAAAGAAGAATATTAGAGAAAGAAAGGAGGACCAGAAGACACTTGAAGCAAAGATGAAAAATGTGTGAGGAAAGAAGAATAGATGAAACAGGTTAGAAAAATAAAAGGGACAAAAGAAATGGTGAAAGTGAAAGTAAGAAAATTATGGTATTCTGGCCATGCATTTGCAATCACATCATTCAATCCATCAAACACAATACAGGTAAATGTTTTCATGTCCCTCAATCAGTCATCAGAAGTTAAAAAAAGATGATGTCGAATGGAAAAATCACTATACCAAGTAATCAATCATTTTATATCATCCCATCCCTCATAGTAGATAATGAACTGTAAGGCTAAAACAAAATACTTGCATCAAATGATATCTTTTTGGTCTAGAAGAAAAAAAAAAGAAGGATTTCTACAACTGGCCCAACTCTTCGGGTAGGGTGATATGCAAACAAGCTCTCAAGTGACGCCTCTCTTGCATAGGATACATGATGTCCAGTATGGACTAGCTAACCAACAAAGATAATCTATTTTGAACAGTTCTTTAACATATTCGATAATCTATTTTGAACAGTTGTTTCACATAATCTGATTTGGAAATGATGAAACATGGGAACGTGTCATTTTGTTTCAATTATGACAACAATGTGTATATAAATAGAAATGAGTCTAATGCCAAGGTTGAAACACAAAAGAAGACAACTTACAGTGCCATTCCAATCAGCATGGTAGACCTCTCCATAAGAACCTGCAAAGACAGTGGACAGTGATTTTAAATAACACTCAAATAGGAGGAAGACACGAAAAACAAGACCTATAAACTCCTGAAGTTAGTTGTCAAATCAGAAAAAGAAGAAAGAAAAGGTGCCAAGTTACACAAACATATTACGGTTAAATCAGGTAATTGTATTACCAAGTCCGATCCTTTCACCGAGGTCGAGATCTTCCCAGACAATTTCACAACCAACATCATCAATACCCGTATCAACATACTTCGCGCCTAAATCCAGTGAACTGCCACCTCCAGCTTCCATCAGTTTTGTATTGGCCTTAGTTAACCTCTCTCGGCCATTTTGCTTAACCTCGTGCTGCCTCGTAATGTTGTTCCCATCCTCCGCGAGATATGTTTCCCTATCATTACTAAAATCTTCTGTGGAAGACATTTTTCTAGGTCCACTTTCACCAGATGAATTACTAGACATACTGTCACGTTTCTCTCCCAAATTAGGAAACGATTTCTCAGGTAATTTGGATGAATTTTTAGAAACAGCTAATGATGCATTGCCTTTATTAGCTCCTCCATAGTTCTTCACTAATGGACCTTCTGCATAACCATATCCATTTCCCTTGGGGACCTCATTCCATGCATGTCTATTTTTCCACATCAAGGGTGAAGGAGGCTTACTGTTGACAATGTTAGTTTTCGAAAATTGCAGCTTGCCAACTTCATTTGCAAGATCATTCTGCATCACAGTTTTGCCGGACCCTTTTATTTGGAAGGGATTAAGCTCAGCAAAAAGATTTTTTGGGTCTTCAGCACTTTTGGGACTGTATGGAACGATATTTACATTTGTCCTCAAACTATCACCTGCTACATTGGGTCCACGGCCCCCTTTGTTTAGTGAACTTCCAACTGCTTGAGACGAACTATGGTCGAACTGATTAGCAGCAGAAGTCAGTTTTTCATTTTGTCCAGAAGTCCCAACTCCATCATTAGAACTCGAATCCATTGATGAGATCAGCGGTTCTGCTTTCCAAGATGTAACACCCAAAGACGAATTATATCCATCCACAGAACTCTGAACAGCCTGTGTTGAATAAACATTATTATTACCCACAGTTGTCTGAAGACTAGGAAGCCTATTTGGTTTTGGATTATCTGACTTCAAAGGAATATCCTTTCCACTCAAAGCATCAGCTGGAATTAGTGTCCCAGGAGCTCCCATGAGATCAACCAAGCACTCACTGCAGCAAAATGTGATTTCCTTCAAGCAATGCCGAATAAATAAGTTTAAACAATCAAATTAATACATATATGCTGACATTCTGCATGTTTAGGAGTACAGTACGGTGCCAAAAATATTCCAGGAATGAGATCGTAAAAGCTATGCAAGGCCGGATAGTAGCTAGATATTTAATTATGACCACGGTTGTTTACTGTAGACAATTTAAACTATTCTTCAAATGTTTTAGCATAGAAAGTATTACTGCATTAGTGAGATTAACCTTTTGAAATGAGCGTGAACAGTTTGCATTCTTCCATACTTCAATGTTTACAGCTTAGCCACACAAAAATTTAAGTCCTTATCACAGGACTACAGGACGCCAGGCGGCCTACCACAGGATTAGATGGTTATTCCTCTATAATAGATGAAGCATATGTTTCATCACGTAAGGGTACCGCTAGAAATCAAATCTAGTGCAAACTTCCTCATAGAAGAAGACCCAAATAAACCAACAGTAGCCTCCTCAAGTAATTCAATAAACATATATAGATGAACAATATATACTCATACTTCCCATATTCCGGTGTAATTTATTTATACGGTTATACACCTATTTCATATTAGATCCATATCCACATTGGACTCAATCTTAAGAACTGATAAGATATTCCCCGTGGCTTATTCTAATAGAAAATGGTCAAATCATGCCTTACAACCACCCTAGAAACAATGCTCTTTCCATGGATTGTCTGTTCCACCAGCTTCTCCCATGGAACAAGTCATCTACAACGAGGAAATGTGTGGAGCATCAAAGAGAATCTCATATCATGCTTGCGCGTCTAAAAAGGACTTAAGTTCCTGAACAGAACGAGATCAATTGGGATTCCCAGGTGAACATCTGTTATCGTCAACAACTAAGACATTGAATTTCAGATATGCAGGCATCATAAAGGAACCTGGTCTCATGGACAGGGTAGCTAAGCAAAATCAAAATGCAACTTTAAATGAAAACACAAAATATTCTGATTTCAAATGCTTAGCAGGGAAAGGGTTACTTATCCAGCTCGTATCTTAGCAGATACTCTGTACATAAATCATATCCGTACACATACACCAACTTACCTTAGTGAACACAAATCGGATACAAAAAGAACCAAATCACTATCAAACTCAAGATGCTGAGTCAAAAACAGGAAGCAACATCTAAAGATGGCCTCCCATAAATTTTAACTCAGTGAGAACTGAAACTTTCCATGCTTGGTGTTTACCATAAAAAATTACTTTCCCCAGTGTATCTACTACACTTAAACATAATACCAAAACAGATGATTGTGAAAGAAATTTCAATTAGTGTACATACATCTTTGCATGGGTGAGACTTTATCCCATTCATATTGATTCTTAACAAAAAAAAAGTTACTAAATAAAAATAACAAATATCTCGAGCTGTTTCCAATTTACCTGTCATCCTGTAGCTTTACAATGTTAACAGCATCGTCCTCAACACCAGTATAATGACTACCCTTCACTAGTTTACAAGGTATCCCAACACTATCAGCTAATGCCTGCATTCCCAGAAAATAAATAAATTACAGGAACAGCTAAATGCAAGATCTGAAATAAGGGCATTTAATAACATTTACATGAGATCTAATTTATTTTCATAGAAAAAAGAACTTCAGCAGATAATTATAACATGTCATCTACATAAGTCTTCCAAGACAAGAAATAATTGAATATTCGAGACAAAATGGAAACCGCAAATGTTTACCCACTCATAAAATAAATGTCTGGGCATGTGTTTTGGCTTTTGGGAATTTCGCTGAAGCAAATGCCCCAAGAGAGCCAGTTTGAAGTAATTTTTTTACTTCAATTGAATAGTTTGCATTTGACCATAAAGTAACGAGACAAATTTATCTGTCACATCTAAAAAGTTGTATTTCAGTATCTTGCTCTCTTCAAAATGATCTCATTTTCGCACCTTTGACTTCGCAATTCCTATTTACCTAATTCCATCTCTCTATACCTCACTCCCATCTGATCACTCTAGTTCCACAGCTACCAAAGAACTAAGCAAGCCAACCTTTCACCAAACAGCTGTGTTCAAGAAGTCTGGTTAACCCTCAACATCTTGATCTACACAGTGCTCCTCATTTTTCTTAACACCAAGATTTTCTTTTTCCAACTTCCAGTAGAATGTGTTAGGACTTAGGACCAGTTGTTTTTAGTTTCTGCTTGTTTTCTTTTGTTTTGGCAACTTGCTGTTGTTTAACAGTTTTTTACTCGTATTCATCAGGCATATCTGGTTACTTCTAGTTAACTTTAGCTAACCATAAGAGAAGCATGAGTCCCATATAAAATAGGTAATAAGTTATTTGACGAAACTAGAGGGTCCCGCTAAATAATCAATGATACTTCACTAAACCAAACCTATCATTAAAAAGACACTTGAAACTTTTATTTGAAAAAAATCTGTGAAATCTTGATCTTACCTTAAAAAGCAATGCACGGTGACGTGAGAGGCCAACTCTCAGGGATGCAATAGGCAGCACAGTGGTGTGAAGAGATGTCCTCAAGTCCATGCTTCTCTCCATCCATTTGGCCAGTATGATATTTGCATCACGGACAGGGCCACCCAGGTGCTCCGTAACAAGTTCAGCTAGTCTCTGTATAAGCAGTGTGGTTTCAGACGTCGGGCAGTCTAATGCAATGCAGTGTGCTATCTGCATCAACTCCTCCAAAGCAGGGTCTATTTTTCTGTTAACTATGACAACCTCATAATCAGAGCCTCCAATGACGCTTTCAAGATCTGCCAAAGAAGGCATGTTCCCCCGAACTGCTGGGTCCCCAGATAGATTATATACATCGTAGAAACCATCCACCACTCTCTCGTCAAAATCAAGGAAACCAAAATTCTGACAAAGATAAAGATATGGAAAATCAAAACAACAAGCCATGTTACAGATATGAAATGCACTATTCTCATCGATAAATTAAAAGCTCTAATCACATACATGTCTGACAATATTTTTAGCAAGACAGCTACATCATAATTGGAAGTTTAACTCCGGGTACCCCATCAGGTAATCCAAATGAAACTAATGACTCGAATTAGATGTGATATGAATGCAGATACAGCAAACATTATATATGGTAGCAATTTAAGGCATCTTTCAACAGAAGCCATG